GACGTACCATTACAATATATCGCTGGTTGGTGGCCATGTTTGCGTGTTTGCTTGATCGTCAGTGGTCTCTCCACCGTGTGCCTTTTTCTATCATGTTTCTTGATATTTTCGGCGTGGTCCCTTCTTGTCCTCGCTCTTTTCCATTTCATTTTCTCTTTCCTTACTTTCATTTTATTTTCTTCTCTTTTCTCTGCTTTTCTTTTTTTGTTGCTCTCTTTTTCTGTGCCAGATGGCCTTGTCTCTGCTTGCGTTGTGAAGTACCAAGATTGAACCAAGGAGGTGTTACCTCTTTCTCTCCGGCCCGTGATGGTGACTCCTAGTCTCAGTTGTTACCTCGCATAGCGCGCAGAGGGAGAGAAGGACTCCAAAATATCTGTCGTTGATTTCTATTGACTTGCGGACCCCTCGGGGCCATTGTATTTGAGTGTACCTTTTTAGGGTAAGTTAGCCTGCTACCACGGGAATCGACCGCGTCCAGTGTTGGATCAGTACGGACATACCAAGGTACTGGGTAGAGGGAGATGGGGAACGGTTTTTGATGTGAAGGCAACAACAACAGCAACAACAATGGCTTGCTCTAGGTAGGAGATCCACGTGCGGCTCCATCTCTACTTTCATGGGGTAGACCGATCAATGCTTCAATGCCTCCAAGTTGTGTACTACTCAGGTGGTTCCGCTTGAGGAACTTCAACTAGGGCAGCTCACGACCTGCGAAATCTGCTTGCACCTCCAGCAGACGGTCGGGGAGACTCTCCATACTACAGCAGTTGTATCCCGAACAGCAAGCACGTGGACAACCCGTTTTACAACCAGTGCGTGGCCTGGTGGGGGAAACGTGATAACCATTATCCAGGAACCATGAAAGGTGTGCGCATCACAATTAAGCTGCCGCCAGGAAGCTTAGCCGGAGGTGGCGCAAACCGTGTTGACCCTGCTGAAAAATGCGGTCCCCTTCCCCTCCACGTGTGCGAGCTATGCGGGAAAATATTAACAAATATCCCTTTCGACTGAGGTTACATCTCGAACGGGTAGTCTTTCTGTGAGGTTATGTTTAGACTACACTTTCTAAGAAAAGGGCGCTTACTTTTTAGGAGCGTCCTTGCATCGATCGTCGACGTTCGCGCTGCCGAGAGTGACTAAGCCAGCCGCCAAAGCTCCTCCAAACAATTTCATAGCTCTCTCTGTTTCTCTTTCTGGCTCTCGCTCTCGCCCGTTCTGTCTCAAAAGTCCCACAGGTAAAGACGCGATGTGTGTGTGTCGTGGTTGCGTGTCGGCGACAAGCGCAAAGTGAGCGCAGGACCGCCTACGCCAATGTATGGAGTAATCAACTATGCCCGCGTAGACTACTGCTGCGAGCGCAACATAAAGGGGGCCTACAAACCGCAGTAGAGAGACGTACATACACCTCAGACGACCAAAACAAAATGCAGGCACACCTGAGGTACCTGTACCAGTAGCAACACACGTTGCACTTCAGCAGGAACAGCAGCAGCAGGGCGGCCTCAGCACGTGTTGTAGCGGAGAGAGTCATGATCCGGGTTCGCTCGCTCGCGGCCGCTTGCGCGCGCGAATGCGTGCGCTTTTCTTCGGCCGGGAGCTCTACGTCGAACGGGGTTGGCGCAAGGGCAGCAACTGGAGTGGTGGCTTTGCGGGCTTTGAGGGAGAGCAGCAGCTTGGCCTCAGCACAGCCACCCTCTGCTGCCGACGAAGCGCACTCAGAAGGTGCAGGAGTAATCCAAAACGGAAATCAGCAGCACGGGGGAGAGTTCCAGCGGGTCGAGGCGGTGGGGGACCTGCTGCGACAGCACGCGCGGGCGGTGAGCTGTACCCGCGTTGATCGTCCTGTGCCGTACAAAGCTTGACAGTCCCGTGGGGGGAACACGCGATTATTTGTTCACACGGCCGTGGTGTGCCACACACAACAGTAAGCACGCCGCGTGCAATGCTTGCGTACACTTGTGTGTTGTCCCCTCATTGTTGTTGGTCTTGCTGGCGCTAGTCTTCACCCAGAGGCAGGATGATGCGATGGATATTTGAGCAGATTTTGAATTCTTCAACTCTCGCTAGTTCTCACCCCCATCCTCGCGGTCTAGTGCCCACCACGAACATGTTCAGTTACTATTCGGGTGTGTGCATCGCGGTGGAGAGCATGTTGACGGCAGATCTGTTGCTTGTCAAAGGACAAGAAATCAAGGAATACATCAGTCGAACTCAGCTTGCAGTGTAGCAGTGTAGCAGTGTACCGCTCAGTCGCCACCGCAGGATGGACGACGCTCAGGCGCTCTCAACTTGTCTTAACACATGAACGCATTCGGTGATTCGACTTTGCCGATAGAAGAGGCCGATTGCGCGGATTACAAGGGTCCGTGCCTAAAATCCCAAGCCGGACCTCGCAGCGCTCCCATGTTGCGTACAACGTGCACAGAGAGCACATGTTTTCGTGAATGAAGGTCGTTCTCCACCAAGCTTGTGTATGTGGGGGGTCGGCTGCCGTGGAGGGAGTGGATAAGCTTCACGGGCGCCGGGGATTTCTGGTCGCGTCGATTGCGTCGCACTCCCAGGCGGCGCGCGTCCCATAACGAAGCAAGTCATGCGTGCAGCTCACCCATCCACACACGCCGAACATCTGCCTTTCCTCCTGCCGTGTTGAAAAAATGGGGACCAATGTCTGCGTGCACCAGAGGGAAGATTGGACGGGGCCCCTCGGGTTGACCGACTACGAGCGGAACCGCCTGCCGAAAGAACTCGTCCGCCGAATCAAGCGGCTAGCCGGGGCCAACAAGCGTACCAAGATGCGCCTGGTGATCCAGATACTGGATGAGGGGAGGCAGCAGGGCATCAAGGAGCTCGTCGTGTACAAGGCGGTCCTGAAGGTAAGTTTTATCACTCGCACGACCATAGAGATTGATACCGCACCCACCGCCGTGCCTGCCGGATGTGGAACGTTTGGTTAAGCCTCGACGCCCAATCAACTCATGGCATATCTGGTTTGGCACTGCAGACGCAGGGATGATGGATTCTGGAACGTAGCCTGGGCCGGCGAAAACCGGCATGTCGCTCCGTCGCAGCATTGACGGATGCGAGGTCCATGGTCTAACGACTACGCCATGTGTTTACATGAACATTAGGGTACACTCCCCCTGCTCGGAATTCGACCGTCTCCGTCATCTGGCTACGTCCCGGGACACACACGCGTTTTAGGTGAAGAACGTCTGGACTACTGCTGTACTCTCAAAGTGAATTGTTATCTCGTCTCTGCTCCTTCCTCCCTTGTTTGCCCGCAGCAACTGCTGACCACCTACCGCGAATCCAAGGATGCTGCCCAAAACTTAGAGAGGGTCATCGAGCGGATGGAGGAAGACGGGCTTCAGCCGGACGTGACCACGTACAACCATATTCTTGATCTGTGAGTCGCAGGCAGCTTGAGATTGTCGGACGACCAGCGGTAGCGGTTGACTTATGAGCCACGGTAGGGCCACGTCTCGAGTTTGCGGGGCCATTCTCGGCTCGCGATATATGGTGGTAGAGGACTAGCCACAACAGCTGTTGATGTAAATCTCGTAGTTTGGCTTGGTTGCAAACGTTATCCTATCTCCGATTTGTAAAGTGTACCTCAACTCAATAATCCCTATCCTACTTCCTTCGTGTAAGGTGTACGCTCGTCCTCTCGTAGCCTCCTGTATTTCGTACGCCTGCAACCCGCGCTCGATGTTTCTTCTACATAACTTGCCATGTGCCATAGTTTGCTGAGTATTGTGTTTGCAAAGTGTTGTGATCATGTTTCAAGAGGTCACCCCCGGTGGTCGGTAACGTCGCAGGTTTCTGACATTCGAATGTGAGTTCGAACCTAGGCGCAGTCACCCGAACTCTCTTTTTCCCTATGCCCAATAGTGGGAGTCGACCGACTCGTGTGTACACCCTCATTCGACTCTGGGGGTCGAAGATGGAAAATGCATCCGCGACGGCAAAAAAGGCAAGAACTGCAGGAGGAAGGTGGAAAACACATAACACGAATGCTCCAGGATGATCTACCTTCCTCCAGCGATGTCGCGCCCGCTGGTGTGCCAACAGAGATTAGTGGCAGGTGTTTGGAAATCGGCATAGAGACAAGAGGGAATGACACATGCACACCAAATGAGACGCTGTTCGCTTTTCTCGTTCATGCCAGACCTGACACTAGATTTGATGACCACCATTTGTTGTTTTTTATACCCGCCTTTCATTTTGGTTCGGAATGTTTTCGTAGATGTCGTAGATATGATACTCACCAGTCGCTGTTATGGGTTTGTTTCCGTCGCGACCATGTCTCGGACTTGATCGCGGGACGTACCTGTGCAGCCACGCGCTTCTCCACAACTCGGAAGCGGCGGTTGCGGTGTACGAAGAGATGCTCTCCAGGGGCGTGGAGCCGAATCAGCGGACGGCCTCGCACATGATCGTTGCTCACTCCCGCGGCTGCCACGACGCCATGTACAGGTGTGTGCGTTTGTGTCCTTGTTTTCGGCGTCGACTTGGTGACTCTTGTCAATACGTTGTGGTCCCCGTGTGGCTACTACTGTAAAAGCGGGAAGCGGTTCCATGATCTGGTGTGGAGCCGCGGAAGTATGTACCTTGACTACTAGCATCGGGTGCGCTAACCGGTGGCCAAAGAGAAAGACGTCAGTCTCAGTGCGGTTGAAAACACAAAATGCTTGGTAAAAGTGTGTGCGTACGTGTGCGTGTGTGGAATTGGCATCGGCCGCGCTAAGCGGCTGACCAATGTAAAGGCGTCAATCGGTTGAAACCACGAAATGCTTCTCTAGGCCATGAAGTGGTGTGTCTGTTTCTGACATTGGCATCGACCGCGCTTACCGGCTGACCAATTAGAATGCGTCAGCCTTTTCAGCGAAATGGAAAAATGATGCGAGTCGCGCTTTCTGGTCAACGCGCTCTCCCCGCAAGATGGGGGGGGGGGGGGGGGGGG